TCACAACCCCGAAACTGAACCCAGAACCTCGAGGGGAGCCTCTGAGGCCGGTGCGTGTGTACATCATTGTGCTTTTGTGTAATATGATAAGTTCAGCCTAAGGGAAGCAAATGGGGAAAATAAATACATAATGTATATTTAGGTTGATGATTTCATCAGAGCGGAAACACAATGAGGGATCAACTCGAATGAGTTAGAAGATAACTTCAAACTATGCGGTATGAATGAGTCTGCCAGGGGATACATGTTTTATATGAGCTTAGAGGGGAAGCATTTAGTCGATGTCACTTTATAACACGAGAATCTGAGCAATTAAGCTAAAAGATAATGTATGTTAGCCATAAAGCCATTTATTATGGACAAAATGATGACATTTTCTCATGCATAAAATATATGTTTTTTTAATCAGCTTTTGCTAAAGAAACCTAAATAATCCCAAAAATATTTTAAGAGCAGAATTTTGAGTTGTTTTCATATTTTTTTTATCTGTGATTCAATGAGAGGTCCAACATTATTGTCCTTGCCCATTGTGATGTCATTTCTTATTGTGAAATGCTTCACATTCCTGGCTTTTATTGTGGATACACAGATGCATCGGTTTCACATATTAGCAGATATCAGCCATGTTGACAGACATCGACCCATCTGCAAAAAAAGTAGCATGAACAGTTGTCAGTAGCCGTGTGTCTTTGTTGTGTCCTATCAATTTTAAGCTGGCGAGCTTTTGTTCCTAAATGCTGACTTGGAAAATAGGGCTTTTTTTTTATTGGGTATCGGAAGTCACCTGTAGGACTGAACTCTGTAACATGTACAGAGGCTGTAGTTCTCCAAGTGGGCTGCTTTGTTAGAATCTGGCCTGTGGCTCCTTTTCTGCATGTCATTCCCCACTTTCTCTCTCCCTGAATTCCAACTTTATCCACTGTCCTATTTCCACAAAAAGGCATAAAAAGCCTAAAATAAATCTTTAAAAATATGAGGACAGTTTTGGGAGTCTTACACATAATAAAATTAAAACGTCAGCATTGGCTAAATTATTATTTTAAAGACTGGTATCGGTATCAGCCCTAATTCTCACAACCCGTGCGTGTCTGTTTGTATCTCGCATTATGTAACATAATGCGGCGACATCATCGAGAAACGTACAACATGACCACAGGGAGGAGCTTTGCCGTTCTGTTTGCAACCGTCCGTGCATGGTTAATAAAATGTGTCCAATATGATGATGCAACAGATGGAAGTCTCAGGTCACAGCTGCATAAAAGACTAAAGGCTAAAGCTTCAAACTTGTTACTGATTGCTTTAAACCGGATCCTCATGGGTCAGTCTCAAAGGGTTAAAGATGATAGGAGAGTGTGGAATTGGCAATGGCACCCATCAATAAACATGGGTGAGAGCTTTTACCACAGGACAAGGAGTGTAGGAGATAAATCAATAAGACGCAGGCTACAAAAGCCCAGCATGCCTCTGTGATTTATGAGGGGTTGACTTTCATCAGAATCTTCATAACTCTTGTGGCTTTGAATCAGGTGCCCTTTGCGCTTCGGCAGTTTGTTGCCAGTGGTGTTTGTGGGAAGGCAAATCCCTCACAGTCGCAATAAATACAAATGCAATCACTGCTCAATTTCCACCACGGTGTCACCACAGCTTTTTTTAATATCACATAAACTGCTAAGTGGAAAGTAAAATGACAACACCCCCCCCCCTTAGCTGCACAGAACTGCTCCTGAATTTAGCCCCAATACAGCTCAGAGAGACAGTGTGACAGTATCATCTTCAGTGTGAATGAGATTCCTCTGGCACAACTGTCGAAATGCCATCACTTTATAGGAGCAGACCCACCATACCATGGAGGTGGCAGAGCTCTGGGAGCTGTGCTGCCAAGACCTTTGTCTATCCCGCATTTAAAAGCTGTTTTCAGGACTCGGGCTGTAAACACAGCGTGATAGTTTTGGGGCTGGATCTGACGGGTTGCGTCATGACTTTCTCACTGCACAATCGGCTCATGTGCTCAGAAAAGGCCTGAGCCACTGGAAGATGTCAGAGAGAGGGAGAGGAAAAAGCCTCACAGACTCATCTGACAGCGCTGCCAACTGGCAGCTTCAGCTTGTTTGCGGTCCAAAGTGTCCTGTCGGATGACATGCATGGACAGTAAAGTGAAAACAGTTTAACTGGGCTGTTTGATTTTGATGAATAATTGTGTCACTTTGCAACTTACAAATCACAAGCAAGTGGTTAAACATTTATTAAATTATTATTATTCACTGACAGCATTGTGTGTCAGTGAAGAGGCATGACCTTTGAACATCACATACCGTGAAAGGGAAAGGTAAAGCTGCAGATTGGTTCCATTGATTCCTGCAATGATCAACGGATTATAGTTAAAGAAGCTTTATTCTTCCGGACCGTCTTCTAAAAGTTGTTTCTTATTTTGTCAATTACCCGATAATTACCCCTCTTCAGGCCTCTAAAAACGAATTCAATGTAACTGCAGACCTCTCGGTTCCATTTGCAGCGAGTGATGGAGGTTGCAGGGCGAAGCTGCATCACTCCAACTCAATTAACACAATCTCCTTTTCTGCTACAGGCTCTTAATTGATCAAAATGATGATAAAACTGTTGAAGCTATAGCGCCTTCATTCCTTCTGCAGAAAACGCTAACGTGCCAAAGCTAATGTGAGCAACGCAAACATGTTAAGAAATGTGCAGTCAGCGGAGGCGACTCCAATTTGGCTGCAGGACATGTTTGCTGAATCCTGTTCAGATCTATGCAAAGAATAAATAAATAGCTTTAGTATCACTTACAAAAGAGGGACAAGCTTTAGGTTGTGAAGATTACAGGCCGCACAGTAATTGATGATACTTCAGATCATTTAGATTACAGGGTACAAAGGGTTAAAGGCTTGGAAAGAAAAAAAATCTCTTTAAATAAGTGAATGCCAAGGGTAGAAACCGTATTGCTTACTTCTCATGAGGTGTCCTTATTTGTGAAACTTGTTTATTTCTTAGTTTGAATCATGAGGTGATGTCATGTCCTTTGGTATCCAATGGTTTAATTCTAACGATGATGACAGTCTTGGGAACATTAGTGTTGCCAGGCAACAGTTAATTAAATCTGATCAAACCACACCCACGCACGCTCTGATAAAGCAGTGCAGCAGATAAGTTACAATGTGTGGTTTTGTATTATTAAAACTCTTGATTGCTGTTTATTAAGCCGACACGATGTTTTCCGAGAAGAAACATTTGACACCAAGTGTAAGGGTCAAATACAGTTAGTCCTTTTTTCAATACTTAACAATGAACACGATCTCTTGTTAAAGGTTTATTTTTGTGCCATCATTAATCATAGTCAGGAAATATATATATATATGAAAATAACATTTAAGTATGGTAAATGGTTTTTTTTAGCACTTTTCCTTCTAACTACTCAAAACACATTTACACCACAGGTCACAACTACACATTCACACCCTGAAGGGCTGCTGTGTAAAGGACCATCAGAAGTAATTAATCACATTCATACACATTCATACGCAGCAGACACAGCAGCAGGAGTGTCTTGCCCAAGGACACATCGGACATGTGGCTGCAGGAGCTGGGCATCGAACCCGCAGCCTTAACCGTTAGGAGACGAACGACTCGACCAGCTGAGGCACAGTAGCCCACAACATTTTTTTTTATAATTTCTTCTTTGGTTTTGAACTATTTGGAAGAAAGTCTAGCTGCAACACGCACTGCAACAAAAATGAGACATTAACTAGATGATATCTATTCGATTCTTTCAGACTGAACAGTTTCCCAACTTATTCATCTGAAAGGTGAACAATTAACATGTAGTTCATCAAATCTTCCCGGAAACGATGTCATGATTGTAAAACTCCCAAAAAAAAAAAAAAATCAACAGCTTGCAGCACAACCTTATGTGTGGTGCTGACAGAAAAAAAAAAGTCCACAAACTTGGCTGTGAATCCTCCTCCTGCTCTCTGCATCTTTCAGCAGCACTGTATGCTGTCTACTCTGCACCACAGTGACCGCCGCTTTCACATCCTCCACCTACACACCATCCTCATCATCACCACCGTTATCATTTTTTACTGCCCAGCCCACAAACTTCCAGCATGTCCAAATATGCCGCTTATGTAACCCTGCAGATGATTTAGCAGAGAGTGAACACCGCTTCATCAAAGCCTCAGAAGCTGAATGGAGCTGAATCACTGCTGCTGTCCCGCTCAGTCAGCCTGAAAAGCCCCACACTCCAATCTAATAATGATCCTTTTCTACACAGGATGGATTGCAGTTCTGTGCAAGGTTGTATTTTTGAGCAATATTCGGCTGAGTCAGCCATGCACGGGAGCTGAAGTTCAAATATCTACAATGTTATTTTTTCTGTGTTTTAAAAAGGCAAATGCTGGTGTATTTGAAACATTAAATAGATTATTTACACATTTCCATCGGGCATGCATGCACAGGTAGCAGCTGAGTGAACTCTGAGCAGACCCATGGATGTATTCAAACACATCTTGAATAAAAGCTCCGTGAAACAGATGAAGATGAGTCCAAATATCTCTGACAACTATGGATATAGTCTATGATCATGCACCTACGCTCTTAATGGCATGATGATGTCTAAAACCCACAAAACACTGCTGCTTCCCTGTGTTTTCATATAAAAATCCATATTTCTCACATGCAGCTCTTGGCAGAAGGACGCTGCAGATTATCTGGACTCAGTTATGGATGCTCACACCGGTTATTCCTGCGATTTCTTTTTCTTTTTTTTTTTTTTTTGAATGGCTTCAGGACATTACAGCCTAGTCTGTTAATGCACATGCCACGACTCTGTAATCCACGCAGATACAAGTCAACTGACCTCGTTAAACATACACTCATGGACAAAATGCATTGTCAACTGAGTGCGTTAATTCTAGTCGACGCTGCTTGGAGCTCAAAGTGGACCGAACTAACACAGCGCTTTGGCACACATTCACACTCGGTCTTACCAGAGAATAAAATCCACCAGCAGCGCGGAGCTTGGAACGGGAATAAAGTCTCAAGGCAATCCCCAGAGTGTGTTGAGTCTTCGGCTTCGGCACAGGGGCAGCGAACACGGCGGATCTCCGGCGCTGAATGAGAGCGCGGCTGAAGCGGCTGTCAGGTTGACGTTGGAAGGCAACCCACTACTTCCTGTTACATCACAGCGCGAGAGCTCCAGCTGAGGACCGACGAGCTGTGGTCACATACACACACTGCAGTCTGCAGTCTGCAGGGAGAGGTGGCCGATGAACTCCCACACTCTCATGGAAACTTTAGTGGAAAAAGCCTACAGTACAATATGTAGATTAGTGATGGGAATTCGGGCTCTTTTTATTGATCCGGATCATTTGGCTCAGCTCAGTAAAAAGAGCCAACTCTTTCGGCTCCCAAACGAATCTTTATTTGGTATAATTTTGGCTGATTGTATTTTACTGACATTGATATTGTATTACTGTACACAGTATAACTCCCAGAATAAAACCATTTAATGTTACATGATGTTTGTTAAAAAAAAAACTGGTTGTTCCTTGGGCCGAGTGATGTGGAGAAAAGATCAGCCCTTTACTCTGTCATGGATTGAACAAAGAGGGAAATCAAATAAAATGGCTCTCACACAGGAGCCAGGAGCTCCCATCGTCCACATAAAAGAGTCAGCACATAGAGTCTGCTCGTTCTCAACCAACACATCATAAGCAGCAATAACAACACCACTAGCACAGCAATAGCACAGCCTATAATGTCCAGCACACATTTAAAACCACATTTTCCCCATACATTAAAAATCATGTCATTAGTAACTCTTGGGAGAAAAAAAAGTTTTAATGAAAAAGTGTGTGAAAAAGCAAGTTTTCTATCTATCTATCTGTCTGTCATATCTTTTTATGAGTTGATCCGACATCTAGTAATCCCCATTGTTTACAGTTTTAAGAATTATACAGTTATTGTCATTCATTAGTTTCCCTACACGTACGCTATAAATTGAATTTGGAGACTTGGTGATCTTTGTAATCACATTTCAGTGTGTGAACAAAGATCTTTCTTTGTTCAGACTTTCTCACTTCTTTTTTTTTTTTTACTTGCTTTGCAAAACTGTTAAATCAGACCGATGGGAGTTAGAGATTATGATTGTTGAGCTTTATTATATAACTCTTACAGTTTAATACATCACAGCCGTGGTTATAAAACAGAAAATACTTCAAAGCAAAAATCCTTTGCAGAGCACACAACCTTTTCCATGACACAACACTGCCCCCTTGTGTTCCTCCTCCACACCGACAACACGGGTCAGTGTTGCAGTTCAAGTGATTTATAGAACTGCATACAATGGATTAAAAAGAGTAAGAAGTGAGTGTTCATGTTTAATCTGACAGAAATAAAGCAGTCAGTGCCTTGTAAACATTGATTTATAGTCATGAGGACAGGGGTCACCCTGATGAATGTGTTTACTGTGAAAACACTCTGTATACCGTTTCATTGGGAGATAGATTGTCCAGATGTTTAATCTGCTAATGCTGCAGCTTACATTGATTAATACGATTGGAGCTATACCAGAATATCATCAGTTACTGTATATACACAACAAATATGAAGGTGAAGCATTCATTTAATTTTTAAAGAAAAAGGTGCTGCAACTTTGGTGTTTTTCACTTAACAACAAAAGTTTGATTATGACATCATAGCCTTAAAACGTTAGCATACAAAGACATTGTTTATACAAAAGCATCATTATGGAGGTTATAGACATCAGCCTAACAATTTTGTTTGTTGTCAATGAGAAATTAATACATGGCACATTGTAGATAATGATATATTCATTCAGCCACTGAAATGCTAATTCCCCCTTACAGCAAATCATCTTTTTTTTTCCACAATAGCATGACAAACGTCAGATTTTAGGGAAGCTACAAATAAAGTATGGACATAAATACAAGGTGGCTCCACAGCAGAGCAGGATCTAATGCAGCGTGTTCAGACTGAGCGTTGAATGATGTCCAGGTTTTTCTTCCTTATCCTGATCATCTTCTTCCCATGAGCTGCAACAGAAATCAAAAGACACGAGTTGATTTCAGAGACTTTCTGCTAAAGCAAAAGTTACAAAAGAAACCTACGATGAAAATGATGTCTAGCCTTTACTGTGGACAATATCTTAAAATGTTTGTACAGTTTAGCAAAGCTAAGCAATGAATTGCACATTTGTTGACAGTGTGTATTTCAAATATGACATCGTGAGATACTCTTACCCTTTCTGCGTCGAGCACACTTGATACTGCATTCTTTCCGACTTGTGAAGTTGTTCTCGTTTCCGCCGCAGCCGCTGTAGCGAAAAATGTGGCACCTCCTGCTCTGTGGGCTGTACGCGAACCTCTTCTCCGCATCCTCACAGTTTCCTATCTCTACGGGCCGGGAGCATGGATCTGTGGGCCTCATGTCTGTAAAACACAGGGAGATTAGAGGTCAAAGTTTGACTGCATTTTTATCACCGGTGTGTCTTTAATTATTCCCTCTTTAAATTATAAAGTCCCATTGTTTGGATACTCAGCTGTGGTGGTGTAAGAAAGCTTGTTACTGTAACTATCATGAGTGTACTGAAGGCTGTAGGACATTGATTTCCATCATTACAAACTATGACTTTAAAGGTCTTATACTATACCTACAAACCAACTAACTTACTAATTAACTCAACCACTAACTTATTAAGTAACAAAAAGCTTTTATTAGAATTTAAGCATTTTGTGTGTCTATAAATTCAGTAAAAAAAATCGTCAGCTGTCTAAAATATGGACATAGTCTCATTCACGTCACCCATTGGTTACTTCTGTCTGTTTTGGTCCATGCCCTCCTCACTTTCTCTGCACCACCACGATTATGCAACGTATGTATTACCTACTGCCTACAAAGCAAATGGGTTGTCAATACAAACTTCTCCCAGTGACATTATAGGTGTTTATCCATTTTTGGCCACAAGATGTCCCTCTTTGATATTAAAATGTCAACACAAACTTAGTTAGAATGACATCATACGTATATGTCCATGACATTTTTATTATGGTCATTTTTCACAATTTTGTGACTTTGAAACTGCACCTTTTATCGTCAGTAGGGAGAAACAGATCCAACCTGATATTTATTATCAGTGAATCATTTCCAGATATCATCCTCAGTAACTGTCTAATGTTAGATCTGGATTATTTATTCTTACACTGAGGGGGATTACTTCTGTGCCAGCATTGTTCCCGTGGGTTGTTTTGTCACATTCTCAAGATCTTATAAGGGAAATTTAAAAAAATGATCGATATGGAGGCAGTACTGTTGAAGCTAACTCGAGTGCAATCGTTCCTTCTCTGTGTGAAAAAAAGAGTGAAATTGAATTCTTAAAATGATAACTTCTTGAAAGAGTTGAGGAAAGCAGTTGAAGCTCTCCCTCTGCTCTCCTGCCGCTGCACAAAGGAACCTTGGAACAGAACTAATGTGATATATGACCCATCGATCCCAATACACCCAAAACTACTAAGTGGGACTTTGTGACAAATGGGCTGTGGGGGGGGGGGGGGGGGGGGGGGGGGGGCGACACTGTGGCACTCTGTTCCTGCTCTTTGTCTCACAAAACAGAAGCAATTTCCCGAACTGTTCAATGCATCACTGCATTTGACATTTTATTTTTGTTTTATCACGCTCAAGTTATTGGCAACTCACACTGTTTCAATAACTGAACTCAATTTGCTTACTTCAGAGTTTAGGCATAATTCAGCCTCCAGCTTGGTCTGGTTGTTCCTCTGAGGACAGGATGATTGATTTAATCATGCCTGGTGCTCTGTTCTTTCTTCACTGAACAAACACTGCATGCTTTTCTTCTGGCTTTCTGCCTATTTGTTTGCAATTTATTAATAGGGGCAAAAAAAAAGGATGTTCTGTCTCATTTTGAGAGAAAAACATTTATTTTCTTCACTGAACAAGGTTACTGAACGACAAAATCATTGAATCAGGACAACAGGATCAAAGATGGCTATACCTCTGTGTCATTCAGTTAGAAAAAACACCAGTGAATTACTGACCAGTACATTTTAGGTTCATTCTTGCCCACATACTGTATGTCTCCACTGGCTGAGTATGCAATCACACTACCTCTAAGACAGGCCTTGTGATTGAAATCAGTGTAGGATTGAGCCCTCAGTTTTAAACTGGCTTTGGTTGTATGCAGGAAAGCAGTCAATATGAAAAAAGAGACAGAATGCATTTGCCATGATACAATCCTGGAACCCATCTGCTGTCATCTGACAATAAACATGTTTTGTTTTATTTGCTTTCATAAACGGACATCTGCTTATGGGTGAAGAAAAAAATCTGGTTATTAATGTCCTTTCTCAACAAAAACTCCATTCTCTGGTCTTAAAAAGTTAGTCAGTCTGAGGTTAATGTGTAGCAGACAGAAGTGGAGGGCTTGTTCTGAACATCTTAAATCCACTACCTGAGTATCCCGTTGCCACACTTGAACTCTGAGATATTTGTTATTTCAGAGCTTAGCCAGTAGGTTCAGAGATTGCATCGAAACAAAGTCATGTATCCTTACCTTTTAGCGCTTGATTGGTTTCATTCCTTTGTATCTCAGGTTCACCTGCAGTCAATCGCTCTGAGAAAAAAAATACATTGCAAGGGATCAGCAGTTTTCAGAATCAGTTAAAATTGACAAAAAAATGTGTTTAATTACTCTGATTCCCAAATTAAAGTAAATTAAAGACTGTGTAAACACAAGTGTGACAACAGCATGAGGTCTTGAGTTTGGCATCTTTGCTGTCGCCATATTTATTTTATTTTTTTGAGCTGGAATGACCATATTTGGATGAGAGGGAAAATACTGGACAGACATGCAAAAAAGTCATACCTTGATTTTTGTATATTTGACTGAAAATCTGATATTGATCATTGTGCTGTGTTGAAGACTTGAAAACACGCAACTGAGACAAAAAAATAAATCATTGGGAGCATTTTCACAGAGTCAGTACACCAAACAAGTATAGCAGGAAAGTTTCTGTTCGTAACCATTATGGTTGCCCCCTGCTGGTTGAAAAGGAACAATGCAGGTCTAAGGCTCCTGTGCTTTGACCTCCAATACTGAAGCCTAGTGGCTATCCACTTTTTAAATTCCGGTCCATGAGGGTGATAGGAAGATTGGTGCCACACTTAAACATGAGAGT